AAGCCTTATTGTTTGAAAAGGTTAGCTTTTTACTTCTTTGCATATTTATGCCCTGTGGCTTCTATGCCCAGCATTTGTCTTGAGGTATCGCGAGGGCATGTTTTAAACCTTGTCGGTGAAATGAGGATCAGTGCAGTGCCGTCCTTCCAGGGCTGCTGTGTACTCAATGACGTAACACAGGTAAGGTATCCCCTCCTTTTCGAATGTTCAAATTACGCCACTTCACTTTTATGAAAGATACATTAGTACAGGTTTTCAGTAAGTGAAAGAAATCCGAAGAGGATTTTCACTTCTACGAAAAAGGCAAAAATGAAAATACCAGTGAGCTTTTGTTCTGCAGCATCATTACAGGGTCATCGTGCAGCCCAAGCAGTGGCAGTGGCTCCACGAAGTTCTTTTCTGAGAACTACACTCAGCATCAAGCAACCATAACTTTGAACTGTGTCTGTAGGCATCTGTTCTTTAGCAAGATGTGTCCTAGGTTATCAGAAAAGCCTAAGAGAGGTTATTTTTGGGGATCTGAGAACACTCCAAAAGTTTTCCTTCTAATTTAATGGTAATTGTTTATGCCATCCCAGCTTATGAAAGCTCTCATAGGAATGCTCTACTTCCAGATAGAGGTGGGAAACCGGTAAAGCATTTAGCACAGGGCCTGGGACACAGTCAACACTCCATCAATGTCAGCTACCAGGTCCATCCCCATCCCATCTCCATGGGGCTAATTGAAATTACCTCTTCACTCGGCAGATGGTGACTCACCTGCAAGAAATGGAATGAAGACAAGATCTACAGTCCACTGTCGCTGTATCGGGAAGACAGGTGCATCAGCAAGAGAGGCCTCTGGAGTTTGCCTGGCTGCAGACCTGTCCAGGTCTCAGCTGGTTTCAGGGGTGCTGCCCCTTGCCTAACAGTCTTATGCTACTTTGCCTGGTGGTAATTATCAAAATAAAGAGCTACCATATGAGGGCTTAGGCAGTGCCCGGCCCTGAGCTAAGCTCTGTGGGGGTGGGGTACTTAACCCCCGGCCCGCACCATGGGTCTGGGAGGCTGAGATGGGTCCTCTCTCCCACAGGACCACAGTGCCTGGAGTGGTGCCTCACCTAAGACTGTATTGCTTCATTCGTTCAGTGTTTATTAACGTCTCTCACTGCTATTTTAGGCAGAGAACAAAACAAATACAAACTCTTGTCCCCTTGGAGCTTACACACTGGTGGGAGTCCGGGGCAGAGGTGGGGCAGGCAAAGTATAGGAAGGAAAACCTTGGAATTGTAGATACTTAAAAACTATTAGGATGATCTTTGCTGCATTTATTTCTATCTGTCCCTTATACCCCTCAAAGGAGGCTGCTCCAGGGCATCCAAGTGGGTTCGCGTGTCAGGCGTGCAGGGCGGGGCACAGCGGTCAGCCGCTCAGTCCCAGCCGTGTGACTTTGGGGCATTCGCTCCATCTCCCTGAGACTCAGTTTCTCCGTCCAATATTTAGGGAAATCACAGCGGTTGCAGCCTCCCTGGGCTGTTGAGAGAATTCCACTGGCGCGTGAAAGGAGGGCACTCTGCCTGCGGGACAGGAACCGACAAGAGGGCTGGAGGGAGCCGTGTCCCGCTCACGCTGGCGGGCGCGGGCGCGCTTTTCTCGCGGGCTGCGTAAGGCCGCCCGGGTGGAGCGGCGGCGGGGAGCGCGCGTCCGTAGAAGGGGAAAGGGGCGTGGGGAGGCGGTCGGCGCGGCGGGGATCCCCGGGCGCGAGTGCCGCGCCGCTGCCCGACGTGGGCGCGGCGCGCCGGGGAGCGCAGGGCGCGGCGGGGTCGGGTTTCAGAGCGCGGTGACTCAGGGCGCGGGCCGGGAGCCGGGATCCTGCCCGCCGCTGCCACTGCCCAGCGCCGCCTTTGTTCGCTGCAGGAAGAGCGAGCAGCGGCCAGCGCGCAGCGCCCCTGCGCCCTCCGCGGAGCTCGGCGGCTCGGTGCCTTCGGGGGCTCGGCTGACCAGCGAGATGGCGCCGAGGTAGGACGCGTGTCCCCGCGCCCAGGCCCCCTCTGCGCCCCGCGCCGCCTCACCTTCTCTCCCTTGGCCACTTCTTGCAGGAGGAGCGGGCAGACCTGGCGCCTGCTGTTGCTGATTTCAGTCTCCGCGCTACTCCCCGCTGTCACCCAGACCCGAGCAGCGACAGGTAGGCGACCGGCCTGAGGGTGGCACCGGCTGTCTTCGGCGCCCTGGGGAAATTGATTTTGGCGGCAGGCGCGGCTGCGGTGCGCGCCTCATTCCTGGACATAAAAGGGAGTCCTCGCCGCTCAGTGCGCACTGACGGCGCTGCCGCGGCTCTCCGGGTAGTGCAAGAGGGCTCGAGGGGCGCAGCCGGGGCGATGGGGCACTGTCTGGGCACCTGAGGTGTCGCGGCTAGGCATTGCCCCTCCATTTCTGGGCAGAGAGGGACTTTGGAAGCACAGTGACAGCGCCAAGCTCCGCTGGGTAAATTAGCCCGCGCTCAGCCAGCGTGCGTGCCGGCCCATGGTACAGGCAGGGTTGACGCCCTCTCTGCACACAGGTGCGGAAGCATGACTACCAGCAGACACCTGGCGCCTTTGTCGTGCAAGAAATAACGGGACTGAATTGCCCTATACTTAACTTAGCTCTGAGTTACCTAGGCCGTACCATCCCTCGTGGGCAGTGGTGCCATGAGTGATGGGAAGAGTATGGGCTGGGAGCCAGGTGATCTGGGCTTCTGTTTCCTGGGCCTCACTTTTCCTACCAGGACCCAGAGGAGTTGGAGGACTAGTGGGGTCTGGGTTAAAATAGATTTTGCTTAAACTGTGTTGAGGCTGCATGGGCTTGGCTTGTGGCTGAGTTAGGTGCCTTGGGCGATGAATTTCACTTCTCTGTGCCTCAGTTTCCTCATCTGAAAAAGGGGAATAATTAAGCCACCTTTCCTCCTAGGGATGCTGTGGAAATTAATAGAGATATTTGAAATAATATGCTTTCTATCCCTTTGCACATACTAGGTACAAAATAAGTGATAGAAAGTACCAGTTAATCCTTGCAATAGCTGTGTTAGAAACAATGCAGACATTTTTACAGAAGAGGACATTGAGGATGAAAGAGGCTTAGGAAATGTCCCTTCAGAAAGGCAGGACTTAAGCCCAGATCTCGAACCCTGTGCTTCCTTACTCAGTCCTTTCCCCATGCAGTTCTGCAGGAGAACTACCCTCTCCAAACAGTAGTCTCTGACTTGTGGATTTGTACATATCCTCAGTAGAATGAGAGTGTGGGGAAAGGGAGGGACAACATTTGTCCCTCTGAAGGAAACAGGATTGAATCGGCAGCCTTGGTTAACTCTTTGTGTGCTGGAGGAAGCCTGGGACAGCCCAGACCATTGTCTCCTTGGGAGCAAGACCCAAAGGCGATGACAGTTTTTCCTGCCAGAAGGTCCAGCCTGGCACTTCTGCAGATCAAAGGGCAGCTGGAGCACAGTTTTGGCTTCTCAGCACCATGGCCATGTCGGAACATTGCAATTTTGCATGTGATACAGGCTACTGCCAGCTCAGCGGCGCAGGCAGCTTCAGGGTCCGTGGCCTTTTGTGAACTTCGCTGCAATCCTCACCTCCAAAAGGAAGAGGGCTCCAGGGAAAGAAACTTTGGTGTTTCTTCTCCTGCATTTATAGGCTGGAACCCTTAATGTACAGTCAGGACTGTTGTTTCTAACACAGAGGAAGTCCTGTTTCCATCTATAATGTTAAAAGGGAGTGACAGGAAACCCTCAGCAGTTGAAAAGGGCTGGGAGAGGACCATTTGCAACTCATGGGCATTCAGCGTCCCTCTGGGACTGTGAAGAGAATCTTCTTAGACGCAGGAAATATCCCCTTGCAAACCAGATTTTGCATACAGTCTAATAAGGCTAAGCCTTATAAACCACATCATGTGGTCACACAGTGGTGTGAACACACTCATATTTCATTCATTCAATCCTCACAATTGCTCCAGGAGGTGTGGACTGGAATTGTTATTATCCCTGGGCTTCACATGAGGAAACCGAGGCCCAACGTCCCAAGGCTTCTCAGCACCTGAGGATTCCCTGGCCCAACCTATTTTAAGAGACCCTTGTCAGTGAGTTCTTTGTCCCCCCACGTGGATCCTTGTGCCCCTAATGGGTCATGGTTGAGTTAGTAAAGTCACAGTGTCATTGTAATACCTGCTGTTTTAGGAGAGAAGGAGGTTGTTGTGGGGGCAGAGGCAGTGGTGCCATAAGATAATAAAATGCTAATATGTACAAATTTACTTACCTTCAAACTGTTTTGTTGTGAAACATAACATCCACTCAGAAAAGTGAACATAAAAAAATACAGTCCAATGATTTATCCAGAGCAAATATCCACATAGTCCAGGTGGAGAAGTAGGATGGCCCCAGAAACTCTGGTGCCTTGGCTGTGATTATTCCCTGCCTCCTCTCAGAGGTAACCATCACCTTGGCTTCCATGGTGATCACGTCCTTACTTCTAAAAATAACTTTAATTCCTAAGCATGTGTCCCCAAATTCTACAGTTCCATTTTACTTGATTTTGAACTTTATACATGCAGGATGTCTTCTTTGCTGGGTAGCTTCTTTCACTGTGTATTAAGTTTTGAAATTCATTTATGCTATTGTATGTGGCTGTAGTTAATTCATCTTCATTGCGGTATAATAGTCCACTGTTAGTAGACCACATATTATTTATTCATATGTCTCCAACATTTGTTTCCATTTTTGGCTGATGCAGTAGTGTGGCTCTGCACGTTCTCGTGCATGTCTCTTGGTGCACATGTGCTTGCATTTCTGTGGGTTTTAGATCTAGACATGGAGGGCTGGGTGACAGTGTATGCACATCCACCCGTGAGCACACATGCCAGCACATCTTCCACTAAGGCTGTACTGAGGTCATGGCTGCCTACCTGGCAGGAGAGTCCCCATAGTTTTGCATCCTCACCAGCACTTGGTCTTGTCACTTGGGCTGAATTTCCACCTTTTTACTGGGTATGTTACTGTAGTCTTAATTTATATTTTCTTAATTTTAAGTTCATTATCTTTTCATACACTTATTGGGCATTTGAATATTCTAATTTACCTTTTTTTTTCAAGGTGAAATTCACCTAACAGAAACTAGCCATTTTCATGCATACAACCTAGGGACCCTGAGTGTATTCACAGCGGTGTGCTGCTGTCATCTCTTCCTGGTTCCAAACATTTCATCACACCAGAGCAAACCCTGTTTCCGCCAAACAGTCACTCCCCACCCTCCCCACTCCCACCCCTCCAACCCCTGGCACCCACCAAACCACTTTCTGCCTCTGCGGATTTGCCTATTCTGGACATTTCCTGCCAAGGGAAACATACAACATATGACATTGTATGTCTAGCTTCTTTCACTTAGCATGTTTTCAAGGTTCATTCATGTTTTAGTGTGTGTCAGTACATCATTCCTTTTTAGGCTAAATAATATTGCATTGTAGCATATACATATACATTGTATGGAAAACGGTTTGTTTATCTGTTCTGCCATTAATGGGGGCATTTGGGTTGTTTCCTCCTTTTGACTATTATGAGTAGCGCTGTTATGAACATTTGTGTATAAGGATTTGAGTATTTCTTCTCAGTTATTTTAGATATATACCTAGCAGTCGGATCACTGGGTCATATGATAATTCATGCTTGTTTTTTTGAAACTCCCCAACTATTTTCCTCAGTGGCTGTGCCATTTCACACTCCTACTAAAGTATACAAGGGTTCTGATTTTTCCAGATCTTTGTCAACACTTGTTATTGGGGATAACACGTCTCAGGGGATATGAAATGATACCTCATTGTGGTTTTGATTGGCATCTCCCTAATGACCAGTGGTGTTGAATATCTTTTCATGGACTTATTGGCCATTTGTTTATCTGCTGTGGGGAAATTCTGTATTCTGATAATCAGAGAAGGTTCAGGTTTTCCCTGTAATCATCTTGCTCTTGTTCATGGCAGTCTGATGTGCTTTCCTGAGTGAGAAAAGAGTTGATAAGAGTTGTATCTGAATCTCCCATGTTGTCCTCCTGCCTTATTTATGCTTTGGCCTGTAATGAGCTAATATTGTCACATACCATTAGAAGCTGTGATGAACATAAATGACTATGGTGTTTTAATTACTGGCTAAATTTTTTGTTTGCCTGAAGTTGGGAAAGCCTGTGGTAGCATCATGTCTCACTTGTGTGTGTTTTGCAGCAGAGTAAAGGCTGAAAACCCCTGGCACACTGAACCACTCACAGCTCCCCACGTATCGTTGGGGTTTTTGTAGTCTCTGCCACTTTGCACAAGTTGTAAACTAATCTCCCTGTCTAGAGTACACTTTCTCACCCTCCTGTTCTCTTGAAGGCTTAATCTTACCTACCAACTTAAATGGCATTTCTTCCAGGGTGCCTTCCTGGGTTTCTCCAGCTGAGTGCTCTCATTGCTAAGCCCCACTGCCTTTCAGTGGCCTCTCCGGGCACCAGCCACTACCTCCTGCTCCCACCATACTGCCAATATATTTCTTCATCTCTCCTTCCCAGAGGAGCATCTAGAGGGCATGGGTCGTGCCTCCTTTGTCCAGAGTTGGTCACTTGGGCTTTGGCTATTTTGTCATTATTATAAACAGTGCTGCAGAGAGTGTCTTCAGAAAAGTGGCCTTTGTTTTCTTTTAGATTATTTCCTTTGACTAGATTACCCCCAACAGACTTGCCTTTCAAAGGACAGAACTAGTTGGATAGTTGCTATATATTTAGATGGATCTTTCATATATATAAATTTTATCATGCCACTTCCTAGTTTAATTGCTCTCAGTGGGTTCTCATAATGCCTACGATGGAGACATGCTCCTCACCCCAGTGGGCCTTTTGTGGGCAGGCCTCTGCTTGCTTGCTGGTCTCCACTCATACTGAGCCCCTTTTGACCTGGTCTCATCCTGAATCACTGGCGGGTTTTGGAATGAGATATTCAATGTCCCACCTCTGTGTCCTTGCACAGGCCAGGCTCTCTTTGAGAATTCCTTTCCCCTTGTCCACCTGGAAACCCCATTCATCCTTTCAGGATCCTCTCTGGGAAGTCTTCTTGTTCTACCAGGCATTTGGGTGTCTCTGGGCTAATACTTATCTCACCCATCTCTCAGTCACAGGGCTTCTCAGACTGGATGGTGGCCACT